CTTTTATTTTGTGTGTTTGGATTTTTATTAAAAAGTCATTTGTATGTATTTTAGTGCTTATGTGTGTGTGTGTGTGTGTGTATAACACTTGCCTTAAATAAAAGCGAAAGCCACACAAATTGTACTTTTTTATAAGGCAGCTCTTCTTTCCCTCTCTCTCTCTCTCTCTGTCTGTCTCTGCTAGCATATGAATATATATGCATATACACATATACATACATTTATATATAGACAACTTTATTTGTTTAAAAGAAAAGTGAAATGCATGCAGAAAGCACAATATTGTCACATCAAATTAGCCAAAAAAAAAAAAAAAAAAAAGAAGAAGAAGAAAAATGAAAGAGAGAAATAAGAGGAAGCAGGTGAACAATAGAATTATGCCATATGATATTTGGTAGAGCGCACATAATCAGAAACCAGAAGTGCGTCCACTTTTGCTGCTGTGACGCTGCCTTCAACTTGGCTTTCATTTCTGTGGCTGGTTACCAAAAACGGCTTTGGAGAAATTTTGAATGGGTTTGTCAGTTTGTGTGCGACTATGTGTGTGTGAGTGTGTGTCTATATAATGTATGCTGTCTATTGCTAGCTGCGGGATGCGGGAGTTCATTAGTTCAGTTAGCTCTAGAAAGCCAAGTCGAAACAAGCACAAAATGGAAAAAACACTTGTTGAATGCCTTGGCCAAAACAAAAGACTTAAGGCACAAACTTGCAAACGACGAAATTTCTCAATTGCACCGCAATTTATTGTAATTAAGATGGGCGGGCGTGCAGGAGGCAGCGTGCTCTTCTGCAGCTGTAACTGGAGCTTGAGCAGCACAAGATGCTGCTGCTGCTGCTGCTGCAACAGCATCTGCTACAAGAGGCAGCCACTTCTTGTCTCATGCTGGCAAAACCAGAATAAGCTGAAATGCAAATAATGCTCAAGGCGCTGCTGTGGCTGCCACAAATGGGGGGAGTTCACTCAGTGGCCGCAGCAGTTGAAGCCTCTGCATTTTAGACCAAAGTCAAAGTCAAGCGACAGCAACAACAGATGCAACAATAACAACAAGACGAACAGCTAGCAGACCAGTTCCAAAAAGAAGTTTTTGCTCTTGTGTCTTGTTGGCTCCTGCTGATGCTGCTGCGGCTGCTGTGGCAATTGAAACACTTGCCGCTGTTGTTGTTGTTCTTGGTGGTGCTGCTGCTTTGATTGTTGTTGCTGTTGTTCTGGTTGTTGTTGCTTTTAAGAGGAATTTCAATAAAAATTTGCAGCGCAAGGCAACTTTTGCTTTGGACTCGTTTGGCTTTGGCCGTTGATCAAAATCAAGGCGCTTGAACTTGTTGTTGCGCCTCTGCTCTTGTTTTGCAGCAAGTTGATGCTGCTGCTGCTGCTCCTGCTGCTGCTGCTGTTGCAGTTAGTTGCAGTTATGCGCAACTATTGTGTATGAGTGTGTGTGTGTGTGGGTCTAATTGACTTGTACGTGGTAGAAAGTGCGGCGCAGCTACTTAACACACACACACACACTCACATACAGCAAAGGGGCGCGCGTATCTGACGGATGCGTATCTAAAGATTTGTTTTTCCCTTATTGTTGTTGTTGTTGTTACTGCTTTATCTTTTGCATTTACTTGCGTGTATTTTCGGCTGTTTCTTTGTTGTTGTTGGGTTTTTTTTTTTCTTTGTTTTTACTGTAGTTTAAACTTCACTGGCAACTATTTTGGGGTCATTTCTTTTAATTTGATGCCGCACTGTTATTATTATTCTATGTTTTTGTTGGCATTATGTTTCTCTTAGCTCTTAACTCTTCGTACGGCTTTTTGTTTTGTTAGTTTCTTAAATATGATTTTTTATTTTTTTTATGAGTTTCTTCACTTTTGGCTTTTGTTTGACACTCACGCTGCTTGTATTCTGTGCTTTCGTTGATTGCTCTCTCCGTCGCTCGCTCGCACAGGCTGCCTTTTGTTTTGAGCACACGAAAAAATATATATATCAAGTTAATATATATATTTATATGTTATGGAAAAGGGAGGAAAAAAAAACTGTTGGAAATTTGTATACGCGATGCCGGGCTTTGTGTTGGGAAAGGATTGTGACTTTTGTTTACTTTGCCTTTTTCGCTATGCAGCTACGCACTGGCCAAGCCAATTTGAGGCCAATAACTGAAGTTCTATAGGCTCTCTGATGGACACTCACGCGCACTTACACACACACGCGCGCGATATGAACACAGGCACGCACACGCACACACACACGCTCACACACACGAAATCGACGTAACCGAAGGCGAAGCAAGTCGATGCCGAAGAGGAGCCAAAGACCGCGTTGAGTTGCGCACGTCTGGAGAGAAGCGCGCATACAAAAGATCCACACGCCAGTCGAAGTCAGCCAAAGCCAAAGACACAAACTCCGACGGCAGCGTTGGCGTCGCAGTCGCAGTCGCAGTCGCTGCGCTGCTGTTGCCGTTGCTGCTGCTGCTGCTGAGATTTTGCGACTGCGCTGCGAACGGCGCTGAAGAACGACAAAGCAAAATTGGTAGTAGCTATAGAAGCAACACACACGCACATGCACACACACACACACATATATATATATAGAGGGGGGCACTTGCGCATATAGAGAGCCACAACATGTGCGCATGCGTAGCCGGGCGATGCCGGCGTCGACTGCGGCGGCGACTGCGACGCTAGTTAGAGCTTCGCGCATAACGGTTTCCATTAAGGCCAGTTCACAAAATGGTGAGAACAACAAACGCTAGGCGGCTGTTGTTATTGTTGTTGTTGTTGTTGTTGCTGTTGCTGCTGTAGCTGTTGCTTATTCAAATGAACAGTCACACACACGCACACACACACACACACGCTGGCACACTCTCTCGACGCTCTCTTGTTGTCACAGCCACAGCCACAGCTGATTGGCGGCATTTGTATGCGACGACTGCGGCTGCGGCAGGGCGGCGGGGCCATACAGCTGAGGTTTGGGGTTAACAGCGCTTTCACATTAAAATAGCAAGAAGCAGCGACAACAACAACAACAACAACAACGCAGCGCAGTTGTTAACTTGGGAGTCGCTCGCTGGCTTTTTCTTTAATATATATATGTATGTATATATATCTCTTTTTTGGTGTGTGGTGCAAATGAGTGGTGCTCACACAGCCTGTCGCCATTCTTTGTTCAGCTAACTGACGCGCTGTGTGTGTGTGTGTGCGTGTATTGTTTGTGTTATAATTTATGCACGTCTTCAGGTTAAGAAAGTCAAACTTTATTACCGCTGCTGTTAGTTCTCTCTCTCTCTCTGTATGTGTTTGTGTGTGTGGGTGTGTGTGTGTGCATACCTGTTTATGCTGGCGGCTGATAAGAGTTGTTAGCAATTTGGCTGCACTTGTTGCTAATTATGTACCTGACTATAAGAAACACGCACGCACACACACACACACGCACACACACATAGAGAGTTATGCAGCTTTCAAGCAGTTTGTTTATGTTTATACTTAGCCAACTTGCAGCTTAATTAACCGCAACAACAACAACAACAGCAACATGCATAAATCATGTTCAATCAATCAATCACTTAATTCAATTTCGTTTAATAGCACATCTTTTGGCATAGGTTTATCTAATTAAAGCGCGGCTCATATCATTTTATGAATATTCTTTTTCTTGATGCTTTTGTATTCTTAGTTTTGTTTATAAATTAAGCAATCGACGCACAACAAACGCTTTGAACTTGAGAGACCTTGACACTGGCGCTGCTTCACAGCGACTGAGCGCAGGCCCAGCCAGCCGCAAGCAGGCAACAAGTTGCGCCCAGTTGTCCAGCGCTTTGGACAAGAGGAGCAACAAACAACGGCAGAAGTCGAAGCCAGGCAGACGCAGGCAAACAAGCAACAAAGAAGTGGAATTCATTTGTTGTGGATGCCAAGAGCACAAAAAGCGAAAGAGAGTGTGTGTGTGAGCGAGAGAGAGAAAGAGAGAGAGTAGCAGAGAAGCTGTGCCTGATAAGCCACGCTGAGTCAAGCGCTTAATTAGCCAAACTTGTGTTGATTATGTTATTTGATTTGATTTTCTATAAAACACAAACACAATGCACGCTGCTGTCTGCTGCCTCATGCCGTTCAGCTGCCACAACGGAAGTTGCATCATTAGAAATTCTGAGCATGCCTCATTGTGGCTCACCTGTTTGTCGCCCGCTTGCCACATTTTGTGTTGCACTTGCGCTTCTGGGAAGATGTGACTGCTGCCTGCCGCGTGTTTGCTTTCATTTAGCTGCGGCTGCTGCTTCTATTTCTATTTATCTTTTCTCCCTTTCGTTCTTATCATGATTCCGTGTTATTTGTGTTTCTTAATATTTGATTTTGAATCTGCCGCACAAGCTGTTTAAACTGTGTAAATATTTCGTAGAGCTGCCAACTTGTTGTGCAGGCTGTAGAGAGTAGAGCGGCGCGATTTTTATGACCGCTCAAAAGTATGCAACATTTTTTAGTATTGTAAGCAAGTTTGTGTCTTAAGTCTTTTGTTTACTCAGCTGAATTTTGAAAGAGAAAACGTTGAAACGATTTTCTTTCAATCAATTTAATGATATTTTAATGTTTTTAAAATTCACTTAATGCTTTGGAAGTGAGTTTGTGTCTTGAGTCTTTTGTTTGCCTAGCTGATATAAAAATTAAAATGGGAAATGTTAAGACATTTATATACATACATATATGTTGCATTTATGTGTTACCGAAAGAGCACCAAAATGTGCATAATTTTTTTATTTACTGGAATTTAAAATAATAAATTAAGAAAATTAAAATGTAGTATTTTAATATTTACTTATTTTAGTTATTTATTTTATTTTATTAATAATAAATTATTATTATTTATTATTATTATTTTATTTATTTATTTATTTATTTATTTTTTTTTTGCAAAGTTCACAGAATTTTTAAAACATTTTTTTGTATTTATTATTTAGTTTTTATTTTTTAAATATTAATTTAAATTATAAATAAAGTTATATGTAAATTCATAAAAATCTATGCAGATGAATGTAATAAATATTTTAATGATTAGCAGTTAACCTCCAAGGTTCGAGCAGCATTCAATAGAATATCGCCAGTGGGTTTGGGTTAGGGGTAGGGTATACAAAAAATAAATAGCAGCTGCTGTGAGATTGAGAGCTTCGACTTAAACACTAGCAACCCCGAGTCGTAAAGGAATCACATGGCCAGGCAAACGGGTGTTGCTGTCGCAGTTGCAACAGCTGCAGGCGGTGGCTGCAGTCTTCCAAATTGATCAAATGACAGTCTAGCTATGGAAACTGTATTCACGCATTGTTGTCGTTGGCCATAACCTTGTTGATCCACGGTACAAAGTGCTGTATGTTGGTATAGACGCCCGGCAGGTGCTCCCGTCCGCAGCCAATGCCCCAGGAGACGAGTCCGATTAGCGTTTTGCGGCCGTCCATTGTAAGCGTGAGCGGCCCGCCGCTGTCGCCCTGGCAGGAATCACGACCGCCCTCCTTATAGCCGGCGCAGAGGAAGACCTGGTTTAGGTGAGAGAGAAAGAGAGGGCAGATATGTTATTCATTTGATATATATCTGTAAAGTTGCTTCGTTTCACTCACATCATGTATGGCCTCACGTCTGCCGGCGGCGCGGAACCAGCGCTGACAGCGATCATTCGAGATGACCTCCACATCCACCTCCTGCAGCACCGAGGGCACAGTGCTCTGGCCGTGCCGCGTACGCCCCCAGCCCGCAACGGTGGCCATTTTGCCCGTCAGCTTGGTGGTGGGCGGTGGCAGGCAGACGGGTATGATGTGCTGCTTGTAAACCACATTGCGATCGAGTCGTATGAGTGCGACGTCGTTCTTGAAATCGGCTGGATTATAATGCGGATGCACTTCCTTGCGCTCAATGCCATATTCCTCGTGATTGAGACGTTCCTCCTGTCCGCGCACGTCCCACTCGCCCAGCCGAATTTTCATGTTCGAATTAGTGGTGCTGTTGGTATATAAGGAAAGTGCTTGAGTGGTTGATTGATGTTGATCGCTCATAGCAGCGCTACTTACGTGGCCACACAGTGAGCGGCTGTCACCACCCAGCGATTGGAGATCAATGCACCACCGCAGCTCAGCTTGCGTGATAGAAACCCGCTCTTGATGAGCGCCACCTGCCAGGGATGCGAGCCAAAGCCCGTCGAGTGGCCGCCCACAATGCGATTGGTGCGCGAAAAAACCTCGCCGCAGCCTGTGTGAGATAAATTTAAATGAAATGAGTTAAAAAACATCAGAATATTCGAGAGATCAGAGAGAGAGAGTCAGAGAGAGCGGTGCATAACTACATAAATATTGTGATTCAGAGTGTTGTTGTTGCTGTGTGGTGCATACTAAGAAAAATTTGCAGTGGTGCGAGAAACGAAAACCAACGTGTATAAGAGAGAGAGAGAGAGAGAGTGATAATAGTGATAACAGTTAGATCTTTGGTACAGCTGAATTGATTTTTAGTACCCGGCACTGGACGATAGCTGCCGTCGTTGTAGCCACCACTTTGGTACTCATCCACCGCCTCGCCGGCATTCAGATCGAGAACATTGCCCACGGCGAAGGGCTGTGCCTGGGGTGCGTGTAATGCTGGTGGTCGGGTTGCAACAGCGCCATCTGGCGGTGCATCCGCATCAAAGAAACTGTCCAGATGATTGGTGATGCCCAAGTGGTTCGAGTCATGCTCCCAGCTATTTAAGCTCGAGACGCTGGGCCGGTGTACAGACGAGCTAGAGCTGGAGCCGGAGCCGGAGCTGGAGCTGGGTTTATAGGGATTGCCGTTGTAGAGCGCTGGGCGCTTAGTGCTGTAATAGGCGTGGTTGGGATAGGCCGGCCGTGCTGACGAGGCCGCAGGCAGGCCGTTGTTGTTGCTATTGTGGTTGTTGTGTTGCGTCTGGTGGTGTGCTGGATGATGCGCCGGCTTGCTAACAGCAGGCGACAAGTCGGGATAAATGTCGTGCAAGTGTATTATGTCACCTGTGTGTAAGAATCATGATGATGTTGCAATTTTCCTCTATGCACAAACGGACGGTTAAGTATGTTTGTTTGTTTGTGTGTGTTTGCTGTGTGTGTGTGGGGCAGCTTTTCAGTTGGAGTTCAACTTTCGCCTGTGATTCGCTTTAAGTAGTGAAAGACTTGAGCAAAAGTAATAATAATAATAAAAAAAAAAACACTGAGCCAGCAATTACGGCTAGCGCCCTGCACGACTTTATTATGTCACCGCAGCCAATGAAGTCGAAATTTAATTCACAACTAGCAAACACACACACACACACACATGCACACTCAATTGACCGGAGTCCATGACAGAAACAAAAGACAAAATGTATGAGATAATTTTTTCGCACGTAATTCAAAAAACGAAAATAAAAGAAGGTGAAAGAAAAGCGAAATAAAACAGAACGCCGCTAGTTGATTAACACTGTTTTTTTTTTTTTTTTTTTTTTTTTCGTTTTTTTCTACCAGTTTCTGGCCGAGTTTCTCGTCTTGGACTTGAAACTCTAAAGCCAAATGCCGTAACTGTGGGCGCTGGGATTTTTCCCACAAAAAAAAAAGAAGAAGAAGAAGCAGAAAACAAACAAATAAATAAATAAAAAAATAAGCTTGATGCAGGCTCTGGGCAAAAGGCGCAGCCAACGTGAAATTTCACTTTTAAAATGCAAAAACGTTCACCTTCGCTTATTTCCGCAACCGATTTTGTTTTTGGGTCTTTTCATTGTCGCATTCGAGGTCTGAAAAATGTTACACTTGAGCGACACGCAGACAGAAGTAAAAACAACAACAAAAACCTGAAAATTCCCAAAATACCTTTTCCCCCTAAAGAAAGTGACTACGCAAAACAGAACTCGCTACTTAAAAAGCTTTAAGAAAATTACCAAAAAAAAAAAAAAAAAAAAAAAAAAAATAGTAAAAAAAAAAAAATAAAAAGAGAAAAATATGTGAACAATACATATGAAATTGGGACTAAAATTGGGCTGCTTAAAAATTTCCACTTAGAATTATTTACAACATGTTGTAATGTGTTTTTTTTTATTTTAGTTTTTTGATTTTGTTGCACATTTTATGGCCAGCCTAGAAAACTAAACAGAGCACAACCAGCTGCTAGACGAACGTGCCTCAGCGTGCGTGCTCATGTGTCAGTGTGTGTGTGTGTGGCATAATGTTTTGGTTGCTGGCGTTGGCTAAGATTACGATACAGCGAATGCACTTGATGGTAATTGAATTTGTATAAAATCAATTTTATAGCCAAAAATGTGAAGTGCGAAAAAATGATGAAGTAAAGTAGAGAAGGCATAACAGCATGGGGTTGTGGAGGCTATGAAATTGTATTTAATTTGTAGCAATATATATAATATATATTTCAGGCATTTGCTGTTGAATCTTTTGAATGCTTGTAAAATTTGGCATTTATATAAAGCTGAGTAAAAGAGTACAGTCTCGATAATTCGAATGCAAAAAATCGCGATAAATAAATAATAAAAATCCATTGAAAGAAATTCCTTCACAATAATTCTCGATATTTGAATTTTTATGTAAATCAAAAAAAAAAAAAAAAAAAAAAAAGAAGAAACGAAAATTGAGAGTTCATCTTTCGTTATCTGCGGCAGATAGAAAGCATAATCTGTGTTTAGAGAACTTTTCCTTATAAAATTTGTACAGATATAGGATGTATTCTTTGTTAATGGAGAAGAATAGGCGGCTGCTTATAATAAATATATATTTCTTCCTTTAATAATAAACACAAAACCCAACAGTAGTAAAATCATCATCAATTTTATAAATTTCATCAATTTTCGTTTTGTAATTGAATTTCCCATTGACTTCAGACAGCCTCAATGTGCAGTTCGTAGCCTGAACAACCTATTTAATGGGCCACCATTGACACCTTCCAGCTCAGCGCCCACTGCTTGAAAGTGCAGCAAATGGAGTTTAGTAATGCATTTGCAGCTCATCTGCACCTGCAGACATATGTTAGCTGGTGTGCATGTATGTGTGTGTGTGTTTGTTTGTGTATTTGCAGGCAAAGTCGAGCAATTTGTTGTCATTTTCGAAATGCGAGCTAATTTATTGCGCTATTATACAGGGCATTGCATAAGTCGAAGCGCAGCAATTTGCAATTTGTGTGCTCGCCGAGCAGCAGCAGCAAATGCTCTAACATCTAACTAAGCATGGCAAATCCAATTGGGAACCGGGAATGGGGGTTGTCTTTTAAATGGGTAGCGGATCGCTGGGAAAGCAGTTTGCTGCGCCTGTTAGAACTTAGTTACTGTTACTCACTTGTATTGTTGATTGGCGCCGCATGGGGACTCTCCTCGGCGTCGAGATCTTTGTCCACACAGCATGACCAGATCATGCCGCCGGAGCAGAGATCGAGAGGTTTGCCGCCGCCCAAGACGCACGAGATGGACAGGCCGCACTCGAATTTGTGGCCACGGAAGCGGCACGACTGCGGTATCACTGCAAAGACACCAAAATAATGGGCATTAGTTGGAATCGAACGCACTCACACACACGCCCATACACAAGAACACTGTGTGTGTGTATGTGCGTGTGTTGGGGAAAGAGACAAAGTCAATAGTCAAATTGTTGCAGTTTAAGTGAGCTTGTGTACTTCGGGATAGCATCTCCATGACGCTGTTCTCGCCGTAATAGCCGGTGCCGCTGCGCCGTGACAGCGCATCCAGTATGAGCATGTCGTGCTCCTGCTGAGCTGTCGGATAGCCCACGGCGCAGACGCTGTTGGGCGTGAGCACACAGATGAGCAGCAGGCTGAGCCACTTATCCTTTATGCGATAATAGGTATATGTTCGTGCCCGCGACATGGCTGGGGCCGACTCCTGCCGAGGAGCGCGACAGGCGAACGGGTACTTTCACTTTCGCACAGCACTTGTTGGCGTTCACTTTCTTTTTGATTTGAATTTGGATTTTTGTATGCGTAGCTATCCTGTGCTACACTTTTAATTGTAATTTATATTATTATTAATATTACAAAAAACACGAGCAGGATTTCACTTTTATTTATAATATCAGCAGCTACGCATGCGCAACGACGCACGAAAAGAAAATTGTTGTTGCTGCTGTTGTTGTCTGTTACATATAGCGTAGCTTATGAGCGCAGCGCGTTTCGTATGTCGACCGCACGTCGGGAAATTCAGCTCAGAACTAAGCCAATGTTTTGTGTTTGCGCTGCGTTAAAGCAGCCGAAGACATTTGCTCGCATTTCGCCATTTCACCAGCCGAGCCGAAGACGTGTGAGACCACCGAGAGAAGCTTGAAAGAAAGAGCAGCGGCAGCATGTTGCCAACGACGCTCAACAACATGTTGCCGAGCGACCAAGTTTTGACTTTGATTTCGATGTTTTCTTTCTTTTTTCGTTTTTTTTTATACCCTGAACCCATTTTCAATGGGAAATCAGGGTATAATGGTTTTGTTGAAATGTATGTAACAGGGAGAAGGAGGCGTGGCAGACCCCACAAAGTATATATATTCTTGATCAGGGTGACGAGCTGAGTTGATTTGGCCCTGTCCGTCTGTCTGTCCGTCTGTCCGTCTGTCCGTATGTATGAACGCGTCGATTTCAGAAGATATAAGAGCTAGAGACTTCAATTTTTTTTTAAAATGTCCGTAATTACAGCGCGCATATCAACTTTATCATTAAAAATCGATAACTCGTCTCGATCTTTTTTATCGATAAAAAACCTTATCGAAACCCAGTTATAAAATTATATCTTCTACACCTTTATTGCTAGAGTCTCCAAATTTTTAATGTATGCTTATATGCAATTTATACAATTTCGGTTTTTGTTAAAATTTACCCCCACCTCTAAATTCACCCCCTCACCCTCACTTTTGTAAAAAGCGTATTTCAAATACTAGAGACTTGTGCTTTGGCAATTACATGCATATTCATGTTATAATCATAATCTAAAAGTTTCATGAAGATCGTACGTCCATAAAAAAAGTTATTAAACAATTAAGTTCTCATAGTAAGCGCACACTGCAGCCCATGCGTGTTTATGCGTGGTTGCTTGTATGTGTATGTGTGTGTGTGTATGCGTTTGTGTCTGTCGGCGTGTGTGTGTGTATGTGTGTCTGTATGCGTGGGTGTGTATGTATACCTGTGTGTGCGTACGTGCGTGTGTGTGTGTGTGTGTGCGTGTTTTTTGTGTAAGCTGAAAGTCGCGAAAAAGTATTGAAATATCTATTGCTCCAAGGGTTCAGGGGATCTCGTAGTCGAGCAGTCTCGACTAGAGCTTTCTTACTTGTTTCGTTATTGTTTTTCTTTTTTCTGGTCAAGGTTTTTGGTAGCTGCTCTATTATGAGTGCTCTCTGCACAAATAATCTATAATCTATGGCATATAACATGTTGTTGTTTAACACTTTCGAATGTCGGCAAGCGCTGCAATTGTCGTTAATTGCAGTTGATTTTCCTGCTCTTGACTTGCAATGGTATATATGTGTGTGTAAAGATAAGCGACAAAAAAAAAAAAAAGACTTTTGCTTTTTCTATATTACATGGCGAATGCCATTGAACTTGTGCTGCAATTTGCGCATGATTTGATATTTGCCTTCATATCTTTTCTTTATCATATGCAGCTCTTACTTTTTGTTTGACCATTTTTGTTTTTCTCTTCTTCTTCTACAAATATTTGCTTTTAATTGTTTTAATGGAGCATAATGCGCTTTCATTGGGGCGCAGAATGGGCCATATGTTAATGTCGGCTGTGGCTGTGTGTGAATAATTACCGCACAAATTTTAGCTCTGGCTCTTAGCTGTGGACGTGCGTTTCTCAAACTAATTGGATGCCTTGTCTTGTTTTTATTTTTTGGAAAGTCCAATTAAAGTTGTGCGCGCTTGCACGATGAATGAAGTCGGCTCACAGCTTGGGCTGGCCAAGAACACGATATATGTACATTATACATGCGTAAGGGCGTTTACTAACTCACTTTCGCCTGGCTTAAGTCCGATTTGGTTTCGTAGAAATCGTGTCGTGAGTCATGTGAACTTGACATCGTATCGATGTGTGATTTCTATGTTCAAGGTTAACTAATATGTTAATTATGTAATTGAACTGCATGCTCATGTTTTCGCAGTTTGCCAAAAACGAAAGACTTAGGCAACGAACTTGCTCTTGTTTTGGCAAACGCGAATTTTTATTAACCAATTTGCAAGGGGAAATATTAGATAACGCGCTTGCATGTGCGCAATTTGTGTGAAGGGCGTGATGAGCGGAAGAGTAATATAGTGTAATTTTTAATAAAGACTTTGGTGACACACTTTTACTTTGTCTGTTGACATGTTTAATCACGCTCTTATATACAAAAGCAATATCTGGCATATTCTGCCAAAGCAATCCAAACGAAAGACTTAGGCAACAAACTTGCATACTTACAATCGAGCTCATCGAAGAACTTTGCCTGCTTGGGCAAATTCTTATCAATGGCCTCCTTGAGCTCCGGCGTAATCACATCATTGTAGACGGAGTTGTAGCTGCTGTGGGCAGCGTCCAGGCCGAGCAGTAGAGTTGGCAGCAGCAGCAGCAGCGACGTTGGCAGCGGCAGCAGCCATGCAACTGCGCGCATTTTGCAATACTTTCGTTGTAGTTGTTGTAATTGTTGTCGTTGTTGTTGGTGCTGCTGGTGTTGCTGTTGCTGCCGTTGTTGTCGTTGTTGTTGTTGTTGGTTTGTCTGCGATTTTGTGCAATTGTGTGTTTCACTTAATTCACGTAGCGGCGCGCGTTTTTGATTGAATAATCGCTCGTTTGCATAGCAGACGGCAGGCAGAGCAGTTCAGATTGAATTAAATACAAAATTCGCGCAGCCCACTTAGCTTAATATTTGGCAATAAGACCCGATGCATTTATTTCGCGGCCATTTTAATATTTTAACATATTTTGTACGCGTCACGCACTTTTTCTTGAAAAAGACTTTTGTTGGAAATTTTCGTTGTGATTTCGGCTGTGTTACTGTTACTGTTGCCGTATATTTCTGTGAGCTGTTTTTATTTTTTATTTTCTTATTTTGTTCGTGTTCGACTGCCTTGCGGTGGGCTTTGCGTTTGCGAACAGTTTGCGGTAACGTCAAAACACTTAATAAACAGTTGGCTGACAAATTCAAAATCAAAAAGGCCATCAACACGCTCACCAACACGCACGCAGCAGCGTCGAGCGGCGTGGAGCAGCCGCAGAGACGTTCGCTATTGAGTAATATGCGCCAAAGAGTGTGAAACGGAGACTCTCAAGCGTGCGCGTTTGTTTGTGTGTGCGTGTGTGTGTGTGTGCGGAGAGTTACACTCGCATCGAAATCGAAAGTGAAAAGAAACAGACAAAACAAGACGTGGCCTCCGAGCAGAGACAGCAGCAACTTTTGTCGCTCACTTGGCAATTGCATGTCGCATGTCGCTTAGCTGTTGCTGTTGTTATTGTTATTGTTATTGTCGTTGCTGCTGTTGCTGTTGCTGCCATGACTAATGTCAAATTTAGAGCTCACAGCGCCAGTGGCTCTACTATATGAAACAAGAGGAAGTTAAATTGTCTTACTCGCACCTCACATGCTGCCAGCAATTTAGTGGGCTGCCAAATGTAATTGTAGTCGAAAAGAAAAATCAACAAATTGTACAAATTGCAACAGGAAAAACCAGCAGCAGACGCGACTCTGCTGACTCTGCTGGCTCTCTGGCAGCCCAAGGCAGCCAAGCGAAAGCCAAAAGCGACGCGCGCACAGCACATCTTATTTCGAGTTCATCTCTCAAGCGTGAAAATTCGCTGCAACAGCGCCACTCCACATGTCTTGTGGAAAAATTGAAAAGCGCCATCAGAACGAATAAAGTCTAAATAATTGATGGGGTTGGGAACCAAAGTCGGCTTGATGAGTTCATGGATAACTATTGAATAATAATTGGCCACAAAATTGATGACACACTTGAGAGACAATCAATTTGTGAGACAATGAAACAATCCTATTAAAAATTATTGATCATTGATGCATGACTAAGCAAATACCCTGATAGTTGGTATGAACTGCAACTAAATAAAGTGAGAGTGCAGTAGTTTAGGGTATTTATGTGAAAAGAAAATGAAAAACAATTATAGTAAGCCGATCATAATAATTGATGGGAAAAATTATATAATTTAGTTGTTGAAAAAAGTTGATAAAAAAATTGATAATGAAATATGAATTATATAATTTTATTTGTAACAGAAATAAAATATAAAATATATTAATAAAAAAAAAAATTTAAAATATTGAATTGAAAAAAAAGAAAACTGAATTAAATTTTTATAATTTAATTGATAAAAGAAATTAAAAAAAAAAAAAATAAATAAAGAAAAACACAACAAATTTAATGGATAAAAAAAGTAAGAAATAAAATAAAATAATAAAAATAGATTTTATAAAATTCTACAGCAAAACTAATTAGCTAATTGTCATAAAAATAACTAAGTAAAATAAAAATCAAAATATATAATTATTTATAAATATAAATTTCTAAATTCATATAATCTGATAAAATTCTAAAACAAGAATTTAATTTTTTGCTATGGCCAAACATGTTTTTATGCTTCTAAATTACTTATAAACATTGCAAATTCTACAATACATTAAAATGACAATAGCCAAATAAATGTATTTATAGCTGCCTTCGACACAATAGGCTCTAAATGGAAAGCAAGCATAAACATATAAATAAACTTATAGATATATAATTCACTCATAAACCTTATCAGCTTGTCAACACATTCACTTTCACACGCTTAGCATAGCCTTGTAACCCTTTTCTGACAAGTCTAGGGTATGCAAAGCAAACGTAACACAATTTAAGTACTAGCATTGGGCAATTGGCAGATGACACTCGACTGGAGACTCTGACTCTGGCCCAGTCTTAATGTGTTTAATGTACAAATTATGATTATTTTCTGTTTGTTGTTGTTGCTGCTGTTGTTGATGTTGTAGCTGGTTGTTTGTTGAGTTGAAAGCAGTTGATTGTGCCATTTATGGCAGCAGCGAACACTAAATGGGAAATGGGCCAGCACAGCGAATGCCAAATGACATAACAAAGCAAATTTGTATTGTTATTGTTATTGTTGCTTTACGTGCTGTAAAGTGCGTAATTCCAATTGAAAATTCCCAATGCACAGTTGCAACCATCGTTCAAGGTCGTCGGTTGTGCCACCTAAACACCCACACAAATAAGGCAACTAGACCCACTTACATTAGCTACTTAATAATATTTAATATATCTAATAAATTGTAATTTGTAATATCATATGCTGTTAATATTATTGCTGTAGTTGTTGTCGTTGTTGTTGTCATTGCACAGGCCATTGCTTAATGTTAGACGCCATAAACTAATGAGATTGCGCTGCCACATCCACGGGGAGTCGGGAGTCGGGCGCCCATTTCAGTCTGCCACATGATTTGTCGTAGCTGCTGGGCCCTATGGCTCATTGCGCGCCACCACGTCCTCCACCCAGCGCAGACTCTTCTGCAGATTGTGATAGATGCCGGGCTGGTGATCCACGCCACAGCCAAAGCCGGCGCTCGTAATGCCCACCAGCACGAAGCGACCATGTTCTTTGATGACCAGCGGACCGCCCGAGTCACCTGTGAGGAAGGCAATTAATTTGATTTATATGCGGTATATTTTTGTTGCCTAACTGAGTGAGAGTAGTTTTAGTTGGGGCTGGCCTAGTTGAAAGCAAACTTGAAACACTTTGCTGGCATTATGTACTTTTACTTTGCTTTTCATATTCTAAATTGTTATTCTAGAACTTGCTAGAGGTAAGGAAGTTACCAAATAGTTTTGATAAAACAATAATTGCTTTTGACTGTGTTAACGTTTCGATAGTCTGCTTTATAAATGATTCTTTGTGTTCATTTATCATATATCAAACTATAAACAATGAGATGTGTAAAATTTCTTATATACGATATATAGATCACTAACTGTCAAATCTATAAAAAATTTAATACCTATTCTCTTGCCAAATCTTCTAAATGTCAAATCCGTTTCGCAACGAACTTCTGTTAATCGACTCGCAGCTCTGCTAAGCCATTAACAGCGCTCTGTTAACGTTTCGCCTAAAAGTATGCCACATAATGTTTCACTCTCTCTATCTGTCTCTCTCGCTCACCTAAACACGCATCCATGTGTCCATCGGAGTGACCGGCACAAAACATTTCCGATTTGATCTCCACACTGATCTGTTTGCTCTCATGCCAGCGCACGCAATCCAGGGTGGCTGTGCGTAGAGTAAAGTGGAAATAGAGTGAGGTGTCTCTCAAATGGTGTGCACACTGTACTCACATATGATTGGCACGCTGGCCACCTGCAGCATGTTGGTGCCCGCATGACCCATATGCGCTTCCGTCTTGCCCCAGCCGGCTATCAGTCCCTTGCGTCCCACCAGCCGTATGGGATACTGCGGCAGGCATATGGGCAAGATGTGCTCGCTGAAACCCGTCGGCCGGGCCAGCTTAAGCAGCGCCAGATCATAGCGGTCCGGCTGTGTGATGCGAAAGTTGAAGCGCGGATGGATTATCTTCTGGAGCACGCTGTGCTTCTCCACGGGCAGCGGCTCTTGTATATGCCCCAGATTCTGTGTATCCAGCTCGCCCAGATACACTGTTATATCGGGCAGCTGTGCCTGCTGTATGCAATGCGCCGCCGTTGCCACCATATTCGCCGATATCAACACACCGCCGCACTGATACTCCGCGATGCGTATGTGCGCCAGCCACGGGTACTCGGCAAACTGTGCCGGTCTTCCGCCAATGATGCGCTTCTGCAGCGTGTTCTGCGGTATGCGCGGCAGTCCACATTCCGGCTGGAAATGGAAATAATAGAAGAAAACTGATTAGTCAATAATGTATAACTGTGCAGCTGCATAATTGATGATGGCATTGGGCACACTGAATTCACAGACATAGAAAACAAAACATAAACAACAGCAGAAAAACTAGTTTTTCCATAAAAAATATTTTCAATTGTCTTATTGTTAGCTCGGCTCACACGCTGTGCACTTGATGAGTTTTGAAATGAGCTCTTGAAAGATACATCAGGATAGTTATGCTGTCTCAAAGAACTCTTGCACAATCTGTTATAACAGACTCGAGGCAGTTTTCCACAATCTTTCATAATAGACTCTACTATAATATGGTAAGGAATACTATTATATATTAGACCTAAGGGCATATGCATTCACAAATATAATTACAGTTGCATGTCTAAGGGGTCTTTTACTAAATTTAATGTGGGGTTATTCTCCCTACTAAACTTAAGGAAACGGTTTTATTAATTAATATTATCTTCTATGTGCTTTTCATAAATTATAAAAACTATTCTAAAATTTCCTTTAAGTTCAGTATATTAAAGACTGCACCTTTCTATGTGCTTCTCATAAATTCTTAAAACTGTTTTGTAAATTTCCTTTGAGTTTATTATATTAAAGAGTGCACTCTTCTGTGTGCTTCTCATAAATTTTAAAAACTTCTAGAGGTCTCTCCCTATCACACAATCTTTATATTCCTATTTCTCGCTTTCATTTCACATTATAATCTTTTCTTAGCCATAATTTATTTTCGATTCTTATTTAGATATATTTTTAACGCCAAGTATCTTAACGATTGCAACTTTCTATATAAATTCTCATTAATTAAAATATGTTTTCGTACGTCTCGCACTCAATTTATTGATTTTACTACATGGTTTTATAGCTCTTATCTCTCTATCTGAATTCATATTTACTTATAAGCAATATATTCTACACAGCTTGCCCTTGTTGTCTAGTGTAATCGCCGCATTGGAGCCACTCAAAGCATTTACCTTTAGATTGAGCAGGTCGTTATCATCGCGCCGCCGCAACATAATGCGCTTGGGCAGACTATTCAGGCCCATCTTCAGCTTGCCATAGTCCACCAGATGCTCCAGCGGCGATTGATGCAGATGCTGAGGTGGCTCGGCAATGCAGCAGCTGAATAGCCATTTGTTGCTGCCGCAGCCCTTGGCATGTTTGCCGCCCTGCAGCCAGCAGGAGAAGCTCAGCTTGCAGGGCCAAACGCCGGTCTGATGCACACACTCGGCGGGCACGCCCAGCAGTGTGTTGAGAATGCCTAATTGGGAGTATATGGATCACTATCGCTGGCAAGGATTAGCTGAGGATTGTGAATTACTTACTCGCCTGCAGCAGCGTAAATTGACAGAGGAGCAGGCACAGCCACAGCAGCAATAAATACCCAAATGAACGTCGCATTTCGAGTCACGAGTTAAGCGTGTACGCTTCACAGGCACCGACACACTCACAGCACAGTCACTGTTTTTGGTGGGCGTTTAACACAATTTGCTGACAGCTAAATTTGTGTTTTGATTTGTTGCTGTTGTCGCCGCTATTGTTGCTGTTAATGAAAGCATGACAATTTCTTATTCACTTTTATGTCGTTGTTGTTGTTGTTGTTGCTACTGTTGCTGCTGCTGTTATTGTTATTGTTGTTGATATCTTCTGCTTTACCATTTGAAGCCAGCAGCTCGCTGCTGTTATTTCTACTTAGATGTCTTATTATTGCTGCTCCACTTTTACTACTCTTTGTGGTTGTTGTTGCTGGGTTGAATGATTCACCCAGCTAGCGGCTAGATGCAAAGCCGCTTGCGTCCTTGTCGCAACGTGTTCTCTGGCTAAATGGGTCGCCTCTATATATATTTTTATTTTTGGTTTTTTTTTTCTTCTTTTAAATAATAACTGTGTCAATGCATCAGGCGCTGGCACAATTTTCAATTGCAGCCACACAGAGTTTCACACATGCTGCCAATTGTGGCATGGCTCAACACACACACACACACAAAGCGCGACGCGAGAATTGGCTAAAACGGCGGCGGCAGCAGCGACAACCGCACGCAATGCTGGCCAGAATCAAACTGGGTGCCAAGCTGTAGCCAAAGTGTTTTAGCTTTGGCTGTGAGAGCTTCTTCTCAGCAACTGGTTGGCATCTTGAGCACACACACACACACATGTTTATATATCTTGATCTTGGGCTCTAGTTCTCAAATGCAATGTCTGGCTAATTATTACGAAACGCAGGAAATGTTTGAATAATAATTATTTTATGCGACATAATTGCAAAATATGCATGCAACACATTTACCTATTTTCATGCAGGAAATGAGAGCAATTCTGGCTAATACAACTTTTTTTTGGGTTAACTGTTCGTCGGTTGAGGCAGGGGCAGTGGCAGGGGCGCAGCATTCTTTTATGTAACTTTCTAAAACGCAAAGTCTTATTGATGATGCTCTGCAGCATTAGCATATGAAATATGTTTACCTTGTTTGATTTTGTTGATCAGCAGGCGTATCGCTTAGCTGTCAAATATCTGCCCAAGTCACACAATCGAGAGGAGCACACAATACAAATCACACATCAAATACTCAAATAGTTCAGAAACTCACAAACTTCTCGACAAACACCTTTTTGCTTCAGTTAGAAGTAGTTCCCCACATAAATAGAAATATTTCTTTCTAATTTCGATTCATAGTTGTAGAAAATATATATATACATAGAAGATAAACTGTATATATATATTATAGAAATTTTTTTTAGTTTTTTTTTTTTTTTTGTTTAGAATATATTAATATAGATAGAAATCGAAATTTTAAATTGATTGTTGTTGCACCATGGCCCGCAACCCACAAGCAGCCAAAGCTGCCACCCAGGGACTTGTTGCCGCACATGCCAGCAGCGTTGCGTATGTGCAGTGCCAGAATCTCAAGTACAACGCCATTATCATAGGCTGGCTGGGCGTCATCATATCGAGCGTGATGATCTTCAGCTCCATGATGCTCATCAATATGCAGGCCGATGTCCAAGTGTTGGTCAAGCAAATCCTGCTACAGCAGGCAACAGATAAGGAAATACAGCTCTTAATGAATCGTATGTATTAGTGTGGCTTGATGTGCTTCAATATGCCCATATCATCAACATTCCTGATCCCTAGTACTGGCTGCTTTCAGTACAGTCGCCTACGGCATGTCCTTGATTAACCTGGGCGTCAGCCTCCTCCTGTTGATTGGTGTGGCGCGGGTGAGTATGGGATGGGGGTAGAGGAGGGATAGGAATCGACTGGAATTCTCTTCTGTTTAACTTTTCTTTTATCTAACTCCTCCTTTGCTCCCCACAGGACTCGAGCGGCCCACTGTACCCTTGGTTGATTTTCCATGGCGTTGTGTTTGGCTTTGGCCTCTACATCGGCATATTCTACGCCCTGGCTGGCCTATTTATAGACCTCTCTAGTTTCTTAATGTGCCTGTTGGTCTTTACGCTTGTGTTGGGTAAGTCTTCTTTATATATATGTTAATAATCCCTATATATATTAATAATCCGGTGCAGTGCTCTATTATAAAATCTATCATGAGGTCTTTACTCTGTTCCGCGTCATGCAAGAGCAGAATTCACGCAATGCAAAGTTCTGTCAGGATGCTGAGCATGTCTTCGCCTCTGGCGTTCCCTATTCGCCCTTATATATGCCTCCGTTTCCATTCAAGCCATAAATACATACAACAATTAGGGAGTAGCTGCAGCCTCAATTTGTCGTTTTACATGTTAACTAAATGTCTGGTCTAAAATAATAAACATCGATTGGATTTTGTTTTATTTGCTTTGATGTTCAACATTTACATAATTTATTTACACACAATTAGTTCATAAATAGTTTAAAATTACGTAACAGCGCATATGACTAAGTCAATTAATTAATAATTAATTTAAAGTGTATTTTGAAAATCGCTTAACCAGAATATCCCATATCGAATATCCCATAGATATATATCCCAGCTAGAGATATATGCGTTGTCATTCCTAGGCTCTAATATACGCAGTTTCTGTCTCCTCCTTCTAATCATTCTTTGCGCTGCGCAAAAGTTTTTTTTTTTTTTTTTTGAAAATTATTAAATATATAAATAAGAATTAAAAACAAAGTATGCGAAAAGTCGATAGATACGGAAGCTGGGAAAGTGAATTATGTACAAAACGTTTGCACTCCACTTGATGGAGGGCATTCTGCAAGCTGGAGCTCTGAAGCGTTGGGTTTCAAATAAATAAGAGAAGCGTGGCATAGCTTAGATGTTGACTGTCAGGCCAACCACATAGGATACCCAGTCCACCGTGTAGGCCAGGCGATGGTAGATGCCCTGCAAGAGTGGAATTTGACAAGGTTAGCTCAAGTTGGATTGAGGTTGGTTAGGATAGACTTGGAGCAGAGTCCAGTGATCTATGACAAAAACTCACCGGTTGCCCACGCGATGCACAGGAATAACCCGCCGAGACAACGCCTGGAATATAGCAAATATTCAAGTTACTAGTTTTTCTACTAAGATTACCCACTCGACACTCACCTATCAAATACCAACGGCCGTTCTTCTCATGCATCAGCGGGCCGCCGGAATCGCCCTGGCAGGAATCCTTGCCGCCATTGCGATAGCCGGCGCACAGCATCTCCTGGTAGATGACGACATTGATGCCATTCTGTCGATGCCAGCGCTCGCAGATGCGATTCTCAATCACGGGCACATCGACAGCTTGCAGAGTTTTGGGGCGCAAGCGGGAGCCCGGATTCAAGGCGCCCCAGCCGGCGGCCCAGCCATACTTGCCCAGAAAGTCCTCGTTCTTCTCCGGCAGGCAAATGGGCGCTGTGGCAGATGTGAAGGGGTGATGGTCAAGAGATACAGATGGACAACAAGAGTGAGTATATTATATATACCTATATGTGGCATGAAGTGCACTGTGCGCTCCAGGGTCAGCACGGAGACATCGAAGCGATCCGCTTGTGGCGTGAACTTGAAGTAGGGATGCACATCGATGCGGCGCACGCCGAAGGTGTACGCGGGCAGCGGTTCAACGGCCGAGTTGATGACATAATCGCCCAGCGTGACGTGCACCTGACGGGGCGTGGCACGTGCCACACAATGCCCGGCGGTGACCACATGACGACGCGAGATCAGCGAGCCGCCACATCTGCAACAGCACAGCGAATGTGAATTTGTGGAGGCAAGGAGAAGAAGAAGAGGTGGTGGGTGGTGGTGCGCTTACCTTGAGGAGCCAATGCGTATGTAGGCCTGCCAGGGAAAGGAGCCAAAGCCGGCATCGTCGCCGCCCACAATGCGGCGCTGGGCGGTTTGCTTGGCCAGTGAAATGCCGCAGCCTGCAAACCAAGACGAGACAGACAGACAGACAGTTAGAGTGTGACGGGTTAGAGAGTTCAAAGGTTAACGCTAATAAAACAGCACAGAGAGTTAGTAGCAACTGGCAAACGGGGTGAGAGAAACAAATAGAGAGAGAGAGAGCGAGCGAGTTCAGCGTTAGCGGCAGGTGGAACTTGCAACCAAAAATGAAGCCAAAAATATGAACGCCGCTTGGAACTGCCCGCAATTCGTTGTTGCTGGTTCGTTTGCTGTGTGTGTGTGTGTGAGATGGGAAGGAGGCGGGGGTGGTGCGTGCGGGAGATGAAGCATTAACTTTCTAGTCGCTGTGGTGTGGTTTGCTTTTTTTCTGTTTTTTTTTTTTTTTCTGGGTGGCACTTGAAGCTCACTTTCGGGGCATGCCGTTAAATGATGTTTTAAAAGTGGCTTAGCTGTCATTAACTCTCCTAATTAACACATGCACATGCTGGGCAGTTGTAAAGTTCCTCAGTTTCCTCCTCTCTTTCCCCATTGCACGCGGCGGCATTTTCATATCCCACTTCAAGCTTTTGGTGCAAGGCATTTTAGTAGCGTGATTTGTTTTAGCTTTTTCTTAGCTTCTTTTTTCTCTTTTCGCAACTTAATTAAGCACTCGACATTTGACAAACATAACTACGAATACGGTGCACAATGTGCAAGACACAAATAAATACAATACAACAAAAAATTAAACGAAATTATAAAACATCAACGAAAATAATTAAAGCAAGCATACGCAATCACTACAACTAAATATTTTTTGTTAGACATGCAAATTGAAGTATTCATTAATATTCTAACAATATACTTGCAGAAGATTTAAAAAACTAATATATTTACTAATTAAAATTATATTTATTTTTTAAAATTGTTTCACAAGTTTTAAAGCAAGTTTTAAAGGTTGAAAAGTAAAAGTATATTTGACAAAAAGTAAAAAAAGCTATTAATTAATAGAAATAAGTAATTAAATTTGTGACAGCTAATTTCTTTGTCTGTATATATATGTATAAATATTTCTCTATATTTTATTTAATTTATTTTTAACACATTTAACTTCTTTGTCTATATACATGTATAAATATTTCCTTATATTTTATTTTATTTATTTATTTAACTTGTATTTTTTATAAAATATAAATTTTATATATTTTAAGCATATACATATATGTGTAATTTCTTTTAATTATATCACTGGTAAGCATCAATAAGACTTTCCAGACAAATCTTTTCAGTTTAGGCATAAATTTTACAAATATTTCTTTAAAACTTTCCTTGATATTGCTTAGCCTAATATTAGCCTAATATCAATAATTATGTCTATAGCTCTTCAAACACTTTCCTCTGCAAGTATATTTCATCTTCGGCAAGCCGAAGTTGGTTCTCTAAGTTTTTATACATTGCATTATTTTATATAATTTTTGCGACTTGGTCCAAAAGGCAAGCTGAACCGTAGTGTAATCAAAATTGTTGTTTGTTTTTTTTTTAGTGTGCACGTGCATGGACTTTGTAGTTGTTTTTTTTTAATTTGTTGGTTTTTTGTTTTTTGTTGAGGCAGCCACACTCACTGGGTTCGTTGTTGACAGGTCCAAAGTTCTTTTGCGGTAGATCGGTCAGATCGACCGTATTGCCCACATAGTCCGAGCTGCGCAAATTAGCCGATTTGGCCGTGCGATGGCAACAGCCGCGCAGCAATCCATTGCAGGTGCCCTGTATTAGGCCGCCAGATAGCCAGCAGCCTAAAAAGAACTCGCAAGTACCGCCACGGTGCTGACACTCCATGTCCGTTGTGATGTCGACTGTCAAATGGTTGGGGGGATATCATGTATGTATAGATGAGCAACATGTGTGATGTGTGTATGTGTATGTGTGTGTGTGCGTGTATATATATGTGTATGTATATAACTGGTTATGTGTGTGTGTGTTGGGTAGTGTTCGTATTGGGACAATTAGGCCTAGTGCAAGCAGTTCCCAGCAGCGACACTAACTGAAGCTTAACCTAATAGAGTAGCAAATGGTCGTACAGCTATAGACCCTGACACTTACCCTTCTCCTTGAATGTGCTGGCTGACTGTGGACTGCTCGTTGACTCGGCAGCGTTATCCAAATCCTGTAGACTATAATCGTTACGCACATCCTGCACGGCGGCCAGTTCGTTGATGCCAAAGTTCTGATCTCTGTGTGGAACGAGAGGAGATATCAGTTGAATGCAGAGTAGAAGGAAAATTTCAAAGTGAAGAAATCGAATTTATCTTATTTATGATTTCCTCACTTTGATGATTATTCACATTCTGCTTCGCTTAACAAGTTCGACAGCCTCTCTATCGCGCACACACGATTCTCACACTATCTCAGCCCCAGCTCTATGCTTTTTTTCCCACACTGACTAATTGCTTTTGCCAACTCACCTGAAAGCAATATTATCGCTAAAGTAGACACCCGTGCCGGATGGTGCGCTGGAGCCGCTGGGTCCGGTGGTGCCCACATTGTCGTTGCTGGGGAAGACCACGCGGGGACTGCGCGACGACTTGTAGGGGAAGTAGCGACTCTTGCGCGAGCTCTGATAGTCGCCGGGCGCCACGTACTCATTGAAGGCCTTCTGCGGTCCAAACTGACGCATGGGACTGGGTCCCGTGCGGAACTCCGTGTCGCCAAAGTAGAGGCCGCGCTGCAAGCGACCTGGCAGTGCGGTAATGGGTCCATTGATGTCTCCAAACTTGGTCACATCATCGCGATAAAGTTTGCCAGCTGCGACGGCGGCGTTTAGTGTGTGGGGCTTCGAGTTGGCCACCAGGCCGGGAAACTCAAAGCTGGACGGCGACCCATCCGAGTCGAAGTACAGCTGACGCGTATGCCGTGATTCGTGCTCATATTGTGTGGGCGCGGCATCCTCGGTGAAGGGCAAGCCACCGACGCCACCGGCGCTGCTCTCCTCGAAAATGGGACTGTCCTCACGATAGCCCTGTGGATAGAAGGGATTGGCCGGCTTCAGGCTGTAGCTGGGAAACTGAAAGCCCACGCGACGGCTCGTGTGCTCCGGCTCGGCATACTCCAGCTTGTCCGTGGTGCTGGCCGCAGCTACCAGGTCACTGCGCTCCGTGCGCACCGACTGCTGCTGCTGCTGGTGCTGGTGCTCTGCTGCATGAGCCGCCAGCTCAGCGCTGAATTCATGAGCCACTGCAGCAATGCCCTCGGCTGGGGGACCCAGCGCCGATAGTGTGGCATTGCGACTGGGCCGCAGCTGCAGCAGCGAGGCTGAGCTGCTCGCATCGCTCTCCGTTTGCAACGGGATGTACATGTAGTTGCGTCGGCGTCCCTGTCGCGTCACATTCTCCGGCAGCGTGGGCACCAGCTGCTTGGGTATGGTGATCAGGTCACTCTGGGGCAGCTCCACACTGGGCGCCGGTATGATCTCGACATCGGAGCGACGCTGGGCGGGGG